GCTCCCTTACTCATACATAACAGGTGTGAACAGACCAAAACATGGCTCAAGAAGAACTCAAAGCCCCAGAGCCCATAACTCTAAGCAACCAAGAAATAGCCAAACTTTCAGATGCACAGTTTAAAACACTGGTGATCAGGATGCTCACACAACTAGTTGATTTTAGTCACAAATTAGAGGAACATATGAAGGCTAAACTAATTAAAATGAAGGGAAATGCACAGGAAACCAATAGTGATGGAAAGGAAACTGGGACTCAAATCAAGGGAGTGGACCAGAAGGAAGAAAAAAATGACCAAACAGAAAAATATGAAGAAACAAAAATTCAGAAAAATGAGGAGAGGCTTAGGAACCTCCAGGACATCTTTAAACGCTCCAACATCAGAATTATAGGGGTACTGTAAGGGGAAGGGAAAGAGCAAGTGGAAAACTTATTTGAACAAATAATAAAGGAGAACTTCCCCAATCTGGCAAAGGAAATAGACTTCCAGGAAATCCAGGAAGCTCAGAGACTCCCAAAGAAGTTGGACCCCAGAAGGAACACACCAAGGTACATCATCATTATATTAGCCAAGATTAAAATGAAGGAGAGAATCCTAGAAGCAGCAAGAGATAAGGGGACAGTCACCTACAAAGGAGTTCCCATCAGACTTTCAGCAGATTTCTCAAAAGAGACCTTACAGGGGAAAAGGGGCTGGAAAGAAATATTCCAAGTCATGAAATCCAAAGACCTACAACCAAGACTGCTCTATCCAGCAAAGCATTCATTTAGAATGGAAGGATAGATAAAGTGCTTCTCAGATAATATCAAATTCAAGGAGTTCATCATCACCAAGCCCTTATTATATGAAATGTTAAAGGGACTTATCTAAGAAAAAGAAGATAAAAAAGATGAACAGCGAAAGGACAGCAAACTCATGGGTATTAACAACCACACCTAAAACAAAAGCAAACTAAGAGGACAGCTAGATCAGGAGCAGAACCATAGAAATGAAGATCTCATGGAGACTTAGCAACAGGGGAGTGGGAGGAGGAGAAAGGGGGAGAAGGTACAGAAAATAAGTAGCATAGATGGTAGAAAATAGATGGGGGGCAAGAATAGTAGGGAAATATAGAATCTAAAGAACTTGAGACACGTGGTCATAAACTAAAGGGGGGAAATGGTGGGGGAGGAGGGGTGTGCAGGGTGGAGGGAAATGAAGGGGGGAATAGAACAACTGTAATGGCATAATCAATAATTTTTTTTAAAAAAAGAATGTACAAAGATTAAAAAAAGAGAAGAATTCGCAGGCGCTTTGGGTGCCAGAGCAGAAGAGGCCCACCTTGGGCCCCGAAGAGCTGGCAGTGCATCGAGGAAGAAGACAGGTAACCAATCAAAATGCAGTAAATCAAGATTTCCCTAAAAGTTAGAAGAGTTGAAAATAGAGCATAAGATACTGTATAAAAACTTCTTACCGCTACATGAAAATATGGGTATGTATACTAACAATGACCACAAGATATTTTGGAAATGTACTCATTAAATACCTAAGTTAATTACATAAATTAGGTTTAACTGGTGTTATATTATTCATGCAAATTCAATGTAATGTCCATTACATTTCCATAGAGACAAATAGTAGGGTATTAAGCTCTCTTTCTTGTAGAGAAGAAAAACTGTAGGCTAGTCCTGTGCATTACCTATTCATGAACATGAAAGGAAGAGAAGTGAATTTTAATCACGTGCCCAGGAGTAATACCTCCCCTTCCTTCTCATGCATGTTAAGCCAAAATAGTTGAGATACTTGGTTATTTGATATTTTAATGTTCCTTGAGACCCAATTTTTAAGTTTGAAGTGTTGGTCAGAAAAAAAGAAGTTACCAAATAGTAAAGGAAGTGGAAAGCATGTAGTAAGTCAGAAGGAATTTGGAAAATTATTTGTGCGGACACGGACTATAGCATCTGTATCTAGTTTAAATGCCACTTAAAAGAAAGTGGGGCAAAGCAGTCGAAGCTTCTAAGGTATTGCAAAGACGGGCTCATGTAAGAGGCACCTTCCTATCATGTTTAAAATTCTGGAGCTGCTCTAGACAATGGCTGAGAAGAACTCACCTTCCAACTGAGTTGATCTTGAGTGCCAAGCAGGGGCTACGATAACGCCCAGGCATGACTGCCTTTCCACTGGCATTAAATGCTTTAGCTTAAATGACCACTGGCTTCAGCAAAGAACTGAATACAGGCCGTATCACCTCCCTCCAAACATATCTTGTATTCCTTAGCTCTTGTAGCAAATTTGAGGAAATGAATTTTCAGTAAAATGGGGCTAATTTTCTTGGCAACCACCCCAGACTTTCTACCCATATTGTGGAAATGCACAGGAGTGTTGCTGGGAACATGAAAAGCAAAAACAGGCAGACAGACAGACAGACAGACAACACACAGAGGAAATGATAAACTACAAAAGCTGGAAAGCATTGTCACCCTTTTTGAAATGACTGTTTCTGTTAAATGTAATTATTTCCCGCAGCAGCTTGCAAGGTAAAGGTGTTGATTAATGCATGGGGGTTTGGGGGGGGGGGCTTTAAACAAGACCAGGACAGTCCCACCTGGGAGTGCAAAGTATCGCAGGGCTGGTGGGGTCAGGGCCGCTGCCCGGACCAAGCAGCCATCCCTCAGGTGACTCATGTGCGACACATTTCACGTCAGTCTTGGTTGCGTGCGAGAGATACTTCCAGTGAGTGACCTGACCGGGCAGCCTGACGTTTGGCACAGGTCTTTCAGAGAGGACAAGGGTCAGGACTTCCTGGTGAGTTACTTCCTTTATCAGCAGCTTCAGCTGACATGCTCTGAGAGTCTCTTCCCAGGGACCAAGAAAGTACAGAGGCTGAGGTGAGGGAAACTCACCAACCAGGACAAGGGTAGCACGTGTTCTTTTCTGGTGGGTTCCAGGCAAGATGGGGTTCCAAAGAATTTCTCACTGGAATGAAACCCCTTCACCTTCTTGCAAGTTTTTCTCAAATGCAGCTCTTCATGAAGATTACCCTGACTACATTATTTAAGGCTGCAGCTCATTCTCCCACTGCTAATGTCTTACCCCTGCTCTGTTTTTCTTATTTAGTCTGCAAGTCTTAAGCATGCAGGTCGATGAACTCGTGTATATGTAGACTGTCACATAACCACCGCCCAGATCAATAGAGAGAACTTGGACAGCACCCAGAAGGCTCCCTCCGTGGCCTCTTCCCAGTCAGCCCATTTTATTTTTTTCAAAGCATTTGTCACCTTTGAAGATACAATTTGCCTGATCAGTTCACTGATGTACACAAGCAAGTAGAACAGTGCCTGGCACATAGTAGGCACTCAATAAATATTTGTTCAATGAGTGAACCTCCTTGTCCACATTCCCTCCACCCCTTCCACATGGTCTGTAAGAGAGTGAACTAGCCTGGCATCTTCAGGGTCTCCCCAGGGGTGTGAAATTCAGCAGGAGGAATGGTGCTTATCAAACCTGGCACGGAAGTGGATTGGATTGGATGTATCTTAGTGTCGTCTCTCTTCTAGACAATGTTTTCCTGGACAGACTGAGCCCTAGCTGATTGATCTACATGAAGAAAAGTATCGTTCCTTTAGTCCAGGGTCATCGCTTGATTTCTGGGGTGCTGAGCCTTCCCGAGTGGCCTCCCTTGTTCTGCCTCTGCGGTCCCTGCTGATGCCATCACCTGGCATAGAGAATCCGGCTCACCATCCATGCTCCGTGTGCCCGTCAGTTGTAGGTTTTGGCCACGCTGCATCTCGGCTGTTTCTCCTCCGCGTGTCCCTGGAGCAGCTGCTGTGTTTTCAGGCCCCCCTTATGTTGCAGTATCAGCCTCCCACGTGGTACCCCCATCTTAATCTTATCGTCTTCCACACTATCCCCGTTACTTTCTCTAAAACACAAGCTTGATCCCCTCACTGCTGTGGTCATAAGCTTTCAACAGCATCCAAGGCTTTCCAGGCTCAGCTCCCTCCCTCGCCCTGCACAGGCCCCGCTGTGACTGGCCAGGGCCTGTTCTCAGGCCGAGGTGACTTTGCTCTGCTGGCGGGTTCAGAAAAAAGGCTCTGGTCCAGTTTCATTTTACAGATGAGAAAACTGAGTCCTGGGGGAACTTAAGTGACAAGCACAACCCAGTCACAGATCGAGTGTGGCTAATGGAAAGAAAGCCCGGGGCAGTCTAGGGTTTCATGTACCAGTGGTATCTGTCACATACCGGAAGGTCACAGTGGCAGACCACTCTCTGAATAAGCTCTCTGTACAACTCAGCCCCCATCAGGTGTGGGTAACTGAGTCCTGCCAGAAGCACAGCCTTCTTGGAGAGGTCTCCCTCGAGCCCCTAGCTGGCAGTCTGAACCCTCAGGCCACTGACCTTCACCTCTGTGACCCATAGGTAACTCGAGTCCTATCTCCTGTACTACATTTTAAGCAAACTCTGATTCATCTTTGACTTTTCTTCATTTTTTGTCCCGGGATTTTATTGCAGGTGAGCAGTAAAATTCTACTAAAGGGGGAGCTTCCGATAAAAGAAGCATAATGAGCTATATCCTGCCAGGGAGGTGCGGTTCACATGCCAGGATCCAACCACGCGTGCGGAGTTTAAAATGTCCAACCGCACCGCATCATTCACATGCCGCACCCTGGCTCCTACTGACCCCAGTCCTGTACAGGTGAGGGGGTTTGGTCTCCGCAGAAAGCCTGGTCGCTGCAATTACGGGATACATTTCTCGAAGTCTTTTGGCACCATCTCCTTCCCCACCCGCTGCGCGCCGAACGGCGACGCGCCTTCAGTGAGCTGTCCCAGAACGTGACTTGGCACCGAGAAAGCACAGCTCCCTTACTGAGGAAACTCAGGTCCCCGGCGAGCCGTGACCCCGACTGCCTTCCGGGCTGGCGCGGTCACCGACCCCAGGTGTTGGCCAAGCTGGCCGAGGGCAGCGGGAAAGTGACGCGCGCCTGGTGGGGCGGGGTGGCGAGAGCGGCCCCCAAAGAGGCGGGAGCACTGGCGGAGCCGGCAGCGGCTGCAGTTGCCAGGTCGCAGAACTAAGGAGGCGCAGGCCACCTCTGGGGCTCCTATCGCCGCTGGGGGGCACCGAGGGCTCGAGGCTCGACGCTAGCCGCGTCTGTTAGCCCAGGGACTAGCCGTCCATCCGCTCTTCGCCGCCGCCGGGAGGGACAAAGAGAGGGCCGACGGCTGGGCCCGCCCCTAGCCTCCGCCTCGCGCGGCGGCCACGGCTGCGGGAGGGAGACCGGAGGCACGATCCCAGAGCGGAGAAACCAGTTTGGCCGGTCCCAGCGATCGGAGAGAGAGGGCGGCCGCAGAGGAAGGGCGCGCGGACGCGGGGCGGGGATAGGCGAGGAGCCATTGGCGAGCCGCGAGAGCCGGAGGAGACGCCGCCAACGAGATGAGCTTCCCGGGGCCCCGGGCCAGCCCCCGTGCGCCATGAAGCGCTAGCCCGGCGGCCGGAGTTGGGGCTGGGCGGGCGGCTACGGCGGGCAGGTGTGCTGCGATCACGCGGAGAGGCGCGCACCCGGCGGATGCCCCAGCGGGGGCCCGGCGAGCGCCAGGTAAGCAGGGGCGCGGCGTCGGTGGCCTCCGAGCTCCCCGGCACCCCATCGGCCCCGCAGGTCCTTTGACCGTCCCGGGCCGGCGGACCCCGGAGATCCGGGATGCGGCGCAGCAGCTGTCCGCGCCCTCGGGCTCCCAAGTCCGCACGGGTGGGATTCGGGTGTGGTTGCCGGAGTCTTCGGAGCCTCGGGGACAGAGAGGCACAGCTGGACCGGCGGGCAGCACTGTGGAGAGGTCCAGGGGGTGTTCACCTGCCGCGAGGACAGGGAGCTCGCAGGAGGTGTTTGGATTCTTCCCTTGTATGTGACACACAAGTCCAAGGTGAAGCTCCGAGGCTCAAGCCTGACGGGGCTTGCGGGTCCTTGGGACGTGCTGCGGGCTTCCCTGCAGTGTCTGCAGCCCTCTGTGAGTCTCCTGTAGCCGGGTTCTGCTGGTGCCCCCGCTGTGGGAACCGATGCCAAGGCGTCGGAAACAGACCTTAGGGCCAAGTATCCCTGGCCGCACCTGCGGAAAAGGATGGCCAGACCGCCTCCACCGCGCCTGCTGCGGGACCAGCACCCCCCCCCCCCACCGGACGTATTCCGTGCGCCTTTGAGCAGGTTGGGAGGCGGTGGGGAAAAGGGTCACTTTTTCCGTTGATTGTAGCGTCGTACCCGCCAGCGACCGAGGCCCTGCTGCAGCCTATCTCTTTCCCTTTCCAGTCTGGTGCCCAGCTGTGTCACCTCGTTTTAGGCGCGCAGAAGGCTACTTGTCGGGGTGGGAGGATCGTTAAGAGAAGCGAGTGTGTTACCTTCCCACGTCTCCACTCCTTCCCAAGTGAAAGAAAAGCTTGAATTATCCGCGCAACTTATCCCAGGGGGTGTGCGCGCCTGGGCCCCGCGGGGGAGCCTCGGAATGCAGCTCCGTGACAGCTGTAGCGCTGGCCGAGGGTGCAGACTGGGGGGCGGGCTGGAAACGTGCAAGTAAGGGGGATGTGGGCCGCATTTCCACCCAGTGAGCCCCCTCAACCCCACCCGACCCTTTTCACCCGCCGCCCCTGGCTGCCTCCAAGTTCTCGCGTAGCTCCGGACGCCGCGTTCCCCTCCCGGAAACCGTCTGCCCTGTTGACTTGAGAGGAGATCCCTTCCCATCTCCCTAGGCCCATTGCCTTCAAACTTCAGGTCCTACTCCTTGAGAACCCAGGACACGCACAGGCGAAGTGCTTCAATTGCCACCCGACGCGAAGTAGCGGGTTCGATCGTTCTGGGTCCACTCCGGGGTCAGGAAGGTCCTGGACCAAGGCTAACTGATTTTAGGAACAAAAGCTAAAAAATGAGGTGTGATCAAGTCTGCAGTGATAGTAAATACAAGTGCATATAAACAGGAAACAGCGTGAAGCAGGAGTTTTCATTTTCCTCTCATTTGTGTTGGACGGAGAACGCCATTCATTAATGCTGGGCCTATTGTCGCAGGCCTTATTAAACCCATTATAAACGTGCAAACGATGACTAATGGTTATTAGCTGATTACTGTCTGGGGTGAAGCTGGCCTGCCTACTGAATTTCCCTAATGTTTTTTTTTTCACTCTGTAGTAGAGGCTTCCTTCTAATTTTAGGCAAGAAACCTTCACACTTGCTTCACTTGCTATTCCAGCTGCTGGTGCTTTGGTATTTTTAAAAGATTTTATTTATTTTTAGAGAGAGGGGAAGGGAGGAAGAAAGAGGGAGAGAGAAACATCAATGTGTGGTTGCCTCTCTCAAGTCCCCCACTGGGAACCCGGCCCATAACCCAGGCATGTGCCCTGACTGGGAATCGAACAGGCAACCCTTTGGGTCACAGCCCATGCTCAATCCACTGAGCTACACCAGCCAGGGCGCTCTGGTGATTCTTAAGGATTCTCTGTGTCTGTTATTGAGGGTCAAACAGGACACATGCAGCTCAATACTACGAACGCACATGCGTGTGTGAGGGCAGCTCTGGCCACTTTCAAGCTTCCCTTCTGGTTTTCATTTTAAGGAAAATGTGTACAAGTGTGTGCTTGTTACTTGTTAGTTACAGATAGAACTAGGAGTAAGAGGTTTGTTGTTTTCTTTTTATTGGGGCTTTATAAGAACGATTTGGTGAAGGGAACCCCTTAGCCTGAAGAAGCCTGCAGGTGTAAAGCGTGTTCAGGATTAGCTCCACGTTCCACCTGGATTTCAGGCCCTGGGATCCGAGCCCTGGCCACCCCGACCCCCGCTGGCTGCTGACTGGTTCCTTCCCTGTCTGTCTGGGACCCTGTCTTTCCTTTGTCCGTCCCTCCTGCTCCAGCAAGGAGTAGTGGAAAACATATGGATTTAGATTCCCATAGATTTTGGTTCTTTTACTTACTTTATATTGTATTTGGTTTTTACAACTTATATTTGCTTACGTTTAAAATTGTATAACCCGCCCTCCTCCGGTAGCTCACTGGGTTTGAGCAGAACCCCAACATCCCAACGTTGTGAGTTTGATCCCCGGTTAGGGCACATACAAGAATCAAACAATGACTGCATGGATAAGTGGAAAAACAAATGAATATTCTCTCTCTCTTCCCCCTCCCTCCCTGCCCACCACCCCCTCGCTCTCCCTCCATCCCTCCCTCTCCTCCCACCCTATCAAAAATCAATAAATAAAATTTAAAAAGTTGTATAACTTCAGGTGTATTTCTGCATTTTCTGAACCTTAGTTTACTCGTTTGCTGGGGTGAGAAAGGAGATCAACCTGCTTGGGTTACTGAGAGAACAGGTGAAAGTCCCTTGTACGTACGTAGTAGGGGTTCCAACATTATTTTCATTCTTCCTTTATTCAACGTGTATTTTTAAAATTAGTATGATGCCTGGGCATTTGGTGTATTTAACAGTTTATTGCCTTTTTCATCTGACTTTCATTCTGGTTTTTGTACCTGAAATCCAGGTGATCCTTATAACCCCCTCCAGAGGGATTCTAATGTACCAGTTACCTTTGCTCTCCCTTTGGTTTCAGTTCTTGAAAAAGGAGGCTACGCTCTTACGAATGCGGAGGAACTTGCTCTTTAGGTACCAGAACAAGTTTTATCGGGTTCATTCATAACCCGTATCTCTAAAGAGAGGTGCCGTTAAAGTTTCTTAAGCACTTACCTTTAGCATTTGCTTCTGTAGTTGCTTCCAGATTAATCTCCTGGGAAGTTTTTATTTGTGGTGTCTTTCGGTGTCTGGTGAGTCTTTAGGCCCGTTTGTTGGCAACATTCAATTAGATGAATTGTATTCATGCCTAGAGGGGTTCTGTTACTTATTAAGATAAGTAAAAATTAATTTGCTGCCAGAAGAGTGTTAATAACACAAAAAAGATAGCTTATCCTTTTTTCAGTCTGTGCACTGAGTTGCCCAGAATCCCTCTCCCTGTGCTCCACTGAAAAGAGTGCCCAGTTTGAGATCTTTTGAGGTCTCGTGTCACTGAAGGCCTGGCACTGTAGAGTAGTCTAGAAAGTGTAGACGCACCACACGACAGTCTTGTTGCTCATTTTTTATTCTTAGAAGACAGAGAAATTTGTACTATCTGGTCATTTAGGATCACATAAGTACTTCCTACTCCTTCTAAAATTCATGGCACTTTTAAATAAATTGTTGCCAAAACCAGGCCCAATGGAGCTGGTGTTTGCTAACTGGTCCCAGTGCATTCTGGGCCCAGAAGCAGCGGTCCACAGAGGCGGGCCGCATGCTCAGGGTTCTTTTGACCTAGCTTGCTTGGAACCCAGGCCTCACCACTTCCTCACTGAAAAACCCACAGCAAGTCACTCAGTCCCTCCGTCTGCCTCAGTGTCCTCATCTGCAAACTGGAACGGCAGCGGTGACTGCCTGGCACGGTTGTATGGTGCGTTGTATGGTGAGTTCCAAATGAGGGAATTAACTGGAAAGGCTCAGTGCACCGCTCCATGAGGAGCGGTCGTTACCACTGTGTAGTTGCTATCGCTCCATAGGTATTTGTGGCTCATCCACCCACTGCCTTTCTCTTGAGCTGGGCAGGAAGCAGGAATCACTCTGTTAGTATTTATTTAGCCAACACAGGAACCTGCTTGCACCAGGCACTGTCCTCGCCCTAGAGTAGGGGTGAAGTTCCGAACCTCCAAATCCAAGGCTCAAGTTCTGGAACATGGGCGTCCGAGGGCGACACAGAGGACCAGTGCACTCAGTGACCAAGGGACATGCCCACTTGGATGCAGCCACGTGGGTCCCTAGCTGCTCTCACCTGGGTGCCCCTCCTGCATAGTGGACGCCCTTGGGGACTGCTGAGCACTGCCGTGTCTCCTTTACACTCGTGTGTCCCCCACTCTGCCTTTCCTCTTCCCCAGCCTCTGTACTTGTGTTTAAAATATGAGGTCTGTCCAGGAGAAATCCAGCCATTATCAGTATAACGAGAACAGTTTGCGCAACATCGATGTAACCTGGCAGCCAAGGAAAGTGGACTGGAATGTGCATGTGTGAACAATGACGACTTCAGTGTACTAGTCAGTCAGGAAGGTAGACACCGTTGAGTGAGCATGTGTGCTGTGTGGCCATCACATTCAAAATGACTGAGTGAGTAGAGCAACAAATTTGCATCAGGTTTTTTATAGAACTTGAACATTCCTCCACAGAAACTGTTCAGGTGATTCGGAAGACCACAGCTACGGGCAACTGGTGATTGGCAGCTTTGTCGTGACAATGTGTTGTCATGATGTGTCACGTCTCGTGCAGGGTTTTTGGTGAAACATCCAATCACTCAGGGGACTCAGCGCCTCTACAGCCCAGATTTGGCTCCCTGGGACTTCTGGCTTTTCCCAAAACTAAATTCACCTTTGAAAGGGAAGAGATTTCAGACCATCAGTGAGATTTAGGAAAATACAACGGGGCAGCTGATGGCGATTGGGAGAACAGTGTGAGGTCCCAAGGTGCCTAATTTGATGGGGACTGAGGCGTCATTGTCCTATGTACAATGTTTCTTGTATCTTGTATCTTCTTTAATAAATGTCTCTATTTTTCAT